AAGTTAGGTCATGGAGCTTTTAGAGTCAAAAAGGGCAGTCAACTTATGAATTCAGATTATCCAGAGTGACTAATCATTACAGTTGTTACGACTAGTCGTTTGTAAAGCACGTATTCGACTTAGTTTTTACATGATTCACCGATTTTTGCGGAAGAACGCTCATTTATGAACATTCTTGGCAGTTTTGGTTTAATATTGGAATCTGAAGATTGGCAGTGAAGTTTTTTGTGTTCGAAGGTTGGCTGCTCTTTTGGGCCCTATGAACTCCATATTTTGACATGCTCGTGCTCTCCACCTCGTCTGCTCGTATAGTTACGCATGACTGAAGGGGAAAGATTGGCAGGAAAAATTTTCCTGTCAGTCTGCATATTCCAATATCAAACCAAGATGGCCAAATATGAATGACGGTCTTTCCGCAAAACTAAATAGATTAATGCGAAAATTAGGTAAAATAAGTGCTTTACAAACGATGGGTCGTAAAAATCGTGATAATAAACCATTCTGATTATCAAAATTCTGCAGGAAGCCAGAAGGAAAATATTCGCAAATTTTTGCCGAGAATCGTTGTTTTTCCTAATGAAATTTGGCAACGTCCGAGGGTACATACGACATTTTTCCTAAGTACAGCAGAACAGTGGTGTGGCGTGCTTTGCGATATATCAATTGTCATTTAAACCTATGAAAAAGGATCGATGAACAGGGTGTTCGCAGCGAACACCATAATACTCGATTCTTCACCATAGCTTCAAATAAGGAAAAATCGATAATCGATCATTCACGCCTCGCCACTGCAGCAGAGCAGATGTGAGCATTCGGCGACAAGCGCATTCGCACGTGGCTTGATCTCCACTCGCACCCCTGACCTCCTCCACCCCTGACCTCCTCCACCCCTGACCCTTGGTAACAGCCGCCTCACTTATCAAAAACCTCGTAACACTTTACCAGGAATCATACCTAGGTACGCTGTTTTTCTGAACGCACCGTTGACATCCCTCCTCTGAAACTCACCCACGCTGTGTACCAACAAAACCTGCAAATAAAGCGGGCAAACGCGGAAAACACTCGAGAATTTGAGCCTGAAATATTTATGGTGCTTTGCGTTACGCGAGCATCATAAGTTAAGTGCCGCGCGAATTAAGCGCCTCCGCACGGTTGCCATATTTCAGCCCGAGAATCGACGGCGCACTATTCGCTAGTGGGTACAAGACGCGATTCGACAACCGTGGCCCGTAATGCTTGTAATAACTGTTTATGGCCTTTTATCTTCTCGCGTTTTCTAGCTTGTGAGGCTGATTACCGGCGCTTTTGAAGCCCCGGTGGTGATGTTTTCCCAGATTCGAAATAGGTCGCGGCTCTCGGAGCAAGCGCAATTTTCAGCGAATTTTAAATGAGAGGTGGGTGAGACGTCTAAAAATCTTGTATACTTCTCTCAAATTGACAAAATTGCGCTTGGAAACGTGAAATTTCAGATGCATGGGAAGGGATAAAAAATATTTCTTCAGCAAATAATCAGTGTTTGAACATCCATTTCAATCTTAGAAAGAATATTTGACTATTTGCCTAGGCATTTGACAAAATGCCTGAGTTGACTATTTGCCTTCGACACATAGACAATTAATAGAAGTGATTTGGAGTTTCCCTGAGTATCTCATTGAAACCCTCTTCCCCTAATTCCTTTTTCACCCCCTCACAACTAAATCAAATTTAAGTTCTCGGTCTCATTACTTATTCTACGCCTCAAAAGATAGCCCGAAGTTCACTCGAGCTTAAATTCACGCTCTTTGGGGCGTATATTGTCCTTGACTCCTGTCTCAAGTGAGCTGTTTCAAGTTAATGCCGCGATCTCGTAGAGGTTTTTCACGGCGCGGCGCACGGCGGCCTAATTCCTACTTTTAATGAAGCTTCCTTTAAGCCGTCATCTTCACGCTTTTCCCCTCTTGAACGTACCCTTGAAAAATCCGTGAGAATTAAGAGGTTTGGCCCAGGACCCTCGAACGGCTGAAAAACATGCGATGTCAGGAAAGCCTCGCAATCTCCCGAATTCTAATAATTATTCTTTCGCGCGTTTACTTTTTTGGGGCGGGAAAATTTTGTGGGGCAGTTTGGAGATTTATTTCGAATTTTTTCACAGTTAATAGAAAAAAATCTCTATGCTGTGAAAGTAGGAACTAATATTTTTAGTTAGAGCTAGTGTTTCCCGCTTCACATCCTATTGCCCCTCAACTTTGTCATTAATAATAACCTGTCTGTTAACTTTCAACTTTTGTCATTATTTACTAAATTTTCCTTTAGTTTCATATATCTTTCTTTAGTTTGTTTTATTATTATTATAAAGCGGTGTGTATTTATTGTGTAATTATTTGTAGTCTAGTAATTTGATATGTATTTTTACTACTTGTAAATTACATGAAAAAAAGAAAAAGAAAAGTTTTTTTTTCATGACGGCCAAAGAAAAAGAGACCTTGATGTATGAAAAAACATTAGTCAACACATTTAGTTAAAACATTTCTCTAATCATTATTAATATAAAGCGGTGTGTAATTATTGTGTAAGTCTTTGTAGTCTAGTAACTTGATATGTATTTTTACTATTTGTAAATTACATGAAAAAGAAGAAAAAGAAAAGTTTTTATTCCATGATGGCGAAAGAACAAGAGACCTTGTTGTATGAAAAAACATGAGTTAGGATTTTTTTAAAGTTTGGTGCAAAAGTCGGAATTTAGTTTTTCACGAAGAACACACTTTAGTATCCCAAAAATAAGGGTGATATTCTTAGTCGTTTCTTAAAGAGATCAATTATGGTTCATATTGCGATCAAGGCAAGTTTAAGGAAATCCTCATTTTTCTACACCATATTAAGGCAATTTTAACGAATTTTCAGTATAATTTAACGACATAAATTAAAAAATAAGCTCTTGCGAGGAATACAAGGGTACGCCAAAAAAAAATAAATAAATAAAAGTAAGCGGAAGAAAAAATTCTGCGACAAACCTTCAGGTTTGGACGAACCTACCTTATAATAATATTTTCAAAACTGGCGAATTGTTTCTTTCGTATTTTTCATCTTTCACATAGAAGTGAATCATTTTAATCCTTTGAGGGTCTATTTCTAAAGTTAAACTAATGAATTCCACTAGAGATCCCTTCAGAGCGTCTATTGCATAATACCGTGTTAAGGGTCTCCTTTAACCTCCCGCTATCGCCAATTCGAAATTTATCAAATATCTCACGGAAATTTTTGATCTTTCATAGGTTTCTTCCGTGCCATGCCACCCTGGCCTGGCATATTAAATCTGTGCGCTTTGTGACTCAAGGTCAGTCGAGCGAGAAAGATTCAAGTCGTAAGGTGCGAGGCTCATAAATTGTACAGCTGCTACAAACTCATTTAATACGAATTATATACGGAGTGAAATTAAGGAGTAGAGAGGGTGGAAAATAATTGCGTTCGAGAAGAGGGCTGGTGAAAAGAAATGGTCAGCTGAAGGTCGTCGGGAAATCGTGCGATTATGGGGATGAGAGGCCCTTTTCAAGGAGTGACGTTATTTTCCCCAGAACTGGGTCAGAGCTCAGCGGGGTCCGATTTTTCGGCAGGCTATTCTGCCGTCTTAAAGAAAAACGCCATAAAAAATTCTAGCGTTGCCGAATATCCCCCGATAAAATATGAACTTTATGGAAAACTCGCGAGTATTTTCTCTTGAATTTTTCAGAGAATTTCATTCGTATTTGTATAATGATGCGATGTATCTGAAAGTTCCAAGAAATATTATCCCTACCTTTCCTGAAAAATTAAAATGTTATCAATGGAAATTTTGCAACATTTGAATGCCCAAGAGGCTTTTTTTTTCTTATCACGGCACTAATATTTTCGGGGCTTAAGACCACAGCAGGCCGCAGATTGACCATTCGGCAGATTTGCTTTCTCGCGAAATATAACGCGATGAAAAATAGGGTGGTAAATTTTTCTCAGAGCTCCCGTCAGGATCTGAAATGAAAAAGTGCTCTGATACAACCCCGGAGTATACTGAGAGATTTTTACGTGATCTTCTGACTATCCGAATTTTCCCCTTTTCGATTCAGGATACCCTTACAGTCTATAGTATACTTCAAACAGTCTAGTATACTGAGTTTGTGACCCTCAAAAAGAAATATCTTGTCAAAAATAGATTATTTTATTCTCTCATCTAAGTAGGTGCATAAAGTTTTTTATAATTCATTTAATTTCTGGACTGAGGGTTACGAGATAAACTATAAATAATTGACCAATAACATGATACTGTATAGAGATATGTTTAGTTATACTTATAGGTATTTCTACAGTAGGAAAAGGTTATGCAGTTGTCGAAAGCATGATGAAATATTTTATCATCCAAGTGATTCTCTCTTTACTTATACTTGTTTTTATTATAATTATTTAATTTAGAATATGTGTAGTTTATTTAGAATATGACATTAATTGACTCAATAATTAAATGGGTCTTTTTCTGTGTCATTAGTGCTTTGAAACAGGAAGACATAGTTTTTCAATCGTGATATTATGTCGCGGGAAATTTGCAGTCGCAAGAAAACTGCAAAAATGCTGGTCTATTTGTGTTGAATGAAAACATATACAAATTTAAAAGCAAAGAAATATGATAGGAAGTACTGATTTTCATGCGTGCAATTCAAACAGAAGTCTTCTTCTTCTTCTTATTCTTCCTCTTCTTGAATGTATGACGCCAGCTAAGAATGCGCGAGTACTTGTGGTGAAATCCATGACCCTAGTAGGGTTTAGCTCGGATAGGCAACTAAACTAACTGCCTGGCAATGCGGTGAGTATCACCGGATTTGAAGGCGCTCCAAAGCCGAGGTCGAACTTTTGAACGATTTAATCTTTGACTGAGTGAAAGCGAATCATTGAGATTTGCCAAGTTAACCCGCGTCATGCCGCGTTGAAAATTGCCGACAATGTTGACTACCTTCGACCAACATTTAGAATTTGAAATAATGTTTGACTGAACTTACCAAAAAGAGAGACAACGCCACATGCGATCCAAATGACGAAACTCATGCCAATGGAACCAGTGCGCACCATCAGGCCTGACGGGGAAACAAAAATGCCGGAACCTGGAAAAAATGGTCCAAAAAGTTTATATGCTGTATTGGGACGGATTTGCTAAAAATATCTTTCTAAGTTTGGTAACCGTGGACGTAAGTAACGAAGAAGGCAATACCCTTCTTCAATAGGCCCGCGAATAGTAGACATGAGCCAACCTACATCAGCTTTTGCCAAATTTAACTGGGCAATTTACTTTTTCATAAGAGAACGTGTGTGTGGATTTTTTTGACGATTTTAAAGAATTTGCCTCTTACTGTGTAACATAAGTAGACTGCTGGACAACATGGAGGAAAATCATATGATTCGCGTGGTCATGAGCACCAATTGGATCGCATTTAGCAAACCAGCGCGATTACAGTGTTTTCAAAACCGTGCAACTTCTTCATTTCTTTTAAAAATACTTAATGTACCTATGTAAAGTATTCAATTTACACAATTATTTTCCTCCACAATTTACAATTTTTTTGGCAGGAAACAAGAACTATATGCTATTCTGTGAGATTTTTTTTAGATATTTATAAAAAAAATCAACATTTTTACAGCACTGTAATAGCGCTGGTTCCTTTTTGCTAAATGCGATCCAATTAGAGTTTGACTTTTCATCACTTCCTAAGAGGCCAAAAACTGATTTCGAGTCCAAAATCTGCTTCCGGGAGTGAGGGCTTTCCTCCTTTTCCTTGAACAATGGGACAGCCGCGCGAGTAGAGTGGTTTGTCGATTTTAAAAGTGCTGTCAGAATAGTTAAGTATCTGCGTTACACTTGACGAGGGAGTTTATCGACTCGGGTTTATTGACCTTGATTCAATAGTTAGATTTGGCCGAATATGAAGCGATGAACCGTTGAGCTTTTATGATTTGCCGCCGTCATTAAGAATAAATGAACCATAAGGGACGGGTTGATTGGCCGTGAAAAGCTGCCTCTAGCAAATCTGATCATTAAGATAAGCGAAATGTAAGCAATCATATATGCAAAAGGGGGTGAGGAGAGAGAGTTAGTTCATTTTGATAATAAACGAATGAAATCCGAATCGTAATTTAAATCAATCTCATTCACCACGGACTTTCTCACTTTTAAGAGGGCATAAAGTAGCAATAGTTTAGTAGCATTTTCGAGAATGATTCGCCGCTAGTCGATCGATCAATAAACAAGTCAATCGTCGGTCTTGGCTCCTGGTCCTGGGTACGGCCCTCTGCCGGAGAATTATTCTATGCCTTTGTTATGACCTCTCTTCTTTTCTTGTTATCACGAAAGGGGGCGTAAAGGGTCTTTTGATTTTTATGATTTTTTATTTTTATTTTTGTTTCCTGGTCGAGGAGGGGGTTAAAACCACCCTGAAACGTCCCAGATTTTTGTGTTTCTGTTTTGGGCTTGGCTACCAATTATCTTGTGTTTCTCAGTGAATTAATAACTTAATAAGTTATGGATCTTGGGACATGCTTTATCAGGATACATAATATATAAAAGTTTGATTTGCCTTCCAGCTGGCTTCCAATATGTAAATCAGCCAAAATGTAAATGGTTCATTTACATAGTACATACATAGTTCTTCTATAGCACACAGTGTCAAAATGAACTTGGAGTCTGTCAGTCCGTGCTCGAAAGACTGCATGCAAATTAATTGTTAGTTCAGATTTTTTGGCAACAGAATGTAATGCGCTTGTTAAACTTAAGTGCACTCATATCTCATTTTCTTGGAAATTTGACTCTGTATCCTTCCATAGTTTCACTAGGGTATGGTCTTTCAGTTACGTCTAAATATATGTTTATGCGGTTCATATTCTTCGAAAAACCTAAGTTTTCCGTAAATTTGGGTTTAAATCATAAAATACTGAGAGTGAACAATTCTTTGGTGCTTGAATATGGTAGATTAGCTAAAATAAAAAGATATGCCCAAAACAGCAACTTTCTACGTTGAATATTAACCGAGATATTGTCCTTTGAAAAGTCGGGTTTTTGACGTCATCCATCGCGGATGTGCGTAACATGGTATGAACTACCGCGGTGGATAACGTCATAAATCGAGTTTTTTAAGGCGCGATATCTCTCTTACCATTCAACGTAGGAAGTTGCTGTATGGACACATGGCCGGATTTACCTACTTGCCGCCCTCTTCTCATTAATTTTGAAACATCAATAAAAACCATCAAGTGAACGCGCCGGAGGGAGAAAGATGCATAAAACGCGTTCACTCGTGTTGGACACATTTTTTGCGTAAGCCCTGTCAACACTACTAGCAAAAGTTCACGGAACTTGGCGCGAAAGTTCAGTTCCGTAAACCTATCTCTGTGGGGACAAGGCCTTCCATTCATAAGAAATGAACTAAAAAATTAAGAAAGAAGAAACATAAATGTGGTTTAATAATTTTAACTTCCGCCGTCATGCGGCGCTGACCACACTGTGTTTGGCGCAATGCGTGAAGTATTCATGCAGTCTCGTAGGCGCTAATATGTGTTACATACCGACCGCCGCGTCGAGGGCTTCTCCTTTTCATCTCAAGTCCTCGTCATCATTTCTCTTTGCGCCGCGCCGCTCCAGGCCAAATTACGTGTTTGGTTTCTCTCTTAAGTCAACTAATAAAAGGTGCGCAGTCTTTTGTATCACCGAAATACGACAAAATTAGGAATTAATGAACTCTCAAGGAATGAGAGATTTTGTCACCTTTTCTTGTTTGTAATTTTTTTCTGAATCCGATTTTTTTGTACCTGCATTTAAAAAAATTGCAAAATTTGCCGCCATGGGCCGCGGCCCATGTGGCCACCCCCTTTATCCGGCCCTGTATGGACATATCTTATTATTTTTAGCCAATCTACAAGAATCAAGCATCAAAACACGATTCTATGATCACCGCAACTGGCCCATTTATGGTCGAGCACTTCGTCTTGCAATATTGACAGTTTGTAGATAGGCAGTATTGTTGCTTAGCCATGGAAAGAGTGGGAAAACAAGGATGAAAAAACGGGAAACAAGGCTAAAAATACACAATTAATGAAACCCGGGACGTTTCGACTCAAAACTGAGTTATTTTCAGTCGGAAACAATACAAATTTAAAAGAAAAACGATAAATATTCTGATTCTCGATTCTTTTAAATTTTTATTGTTTCCGACTGAAAATGACTCAGTTTTGAGCCGAAACGTCTCAGGTTTCATTAATTGTGTATATTTAGCCTTGTTTCCCGTTTTTTCACTCTTGCTATACTACTGTTATCATTGTTTTGGGCTGCTCTAGAGTCCCTTTATACTGAGAGTCAAGACAACACCCCTCATGGAGTCACAAACGGGAATAAAGATTACAGAAATTGAACGTTTTTCGTAATCTTTGATCGGCCCATTCTCGAATTCCTTTCTTCGTTCCTTCCCTCATTCCGTTTGTTCCTTGCCGAATCCGTAATTTCCCGGTCCATTCCAGATTATAATCTTTGCAATCGGTGAAACTGTAATCTTTATTCCCGTTTGTGACACTGTGAAGGCCTAAAATACGGGAACCAATCAGAAATGGATTCACATTGTCTTGACTCTCAGTATAAAGGGACTCTAGCCATGGAAAGATAGGATGGTAGTTGAATTTGTTGATACTCACCAATCATGGTTCCGACGATTAGAGCCACCCCACTGAGGAGTCCCACCCGTCTCTGGAGGTGAAGAGTGTCATCCTGAGCTGGGTCCGCCCCCTCCAGCTTGTCTCCTCGCGGCCCATCGTCTTGGTCGTCCGTTTCCGCCTCCCCGCCGGAGCCGCCCGCGCCGCCCCCGCTCCCTCCGCCTCCCGAGCCCGCGCCCCCCAGGCCCAGCCCCAGGCCCCGGCCCCCCATCCCGCTCCGCCACTGGACTCCTTCCTTCCCGTTCTGTGCATGATTACCTGTCCAAACACACCGAAATACACAACTTTAGTCAACGCAAAAGTAACACTCAAAAATTTCACACTGAGAAAAAAAAACACATCGTATCTAGAGTCCAGACTCTTGAAAACATTGACAAGAAAAAGTTATCTTGATTCAATCAGATTTTCGCTTAAATCAAAAGGAAATCCGCTCAAATTAAGAGGCTTGGTTCTTGATTTAAGCTTAAATCTGATTGAAGCAAGAGTATTTCTTCTTGTCGATGTTTTTAAGAGTCTGGACTCTAGATCAAATGTGTTTTTTCCAGTGTTCCGAATACCCAAAAAATAAAACAACAAGCGGGAAAGTTCTAATACTGTCGTATTAGAAAAGCGTTCAGGTGTTAGTCAATGTATTTAGTGAAGAAAGGAAGTATAAACTCCGTCGACTTGGCTGGGAAATGGAAATAAAACATCAGCTGATAGCAAACAAAGGTTACCAAGTAAACCGTAAACGCGTTCTTTGTTTCCCGAAAATGAGCTCACCGTTGAGCTCATCAGGCGCGTTTTGTTTAGGCTTCATTTGAGTTCAACGATCAATTTCGATAAGAATTACTCTACCGCTTAGAAATTTTCTTATAGACAAACGATCGAAACTTCCTGCGCATTACGTTAAAAGCAGAAAATACAGTTTTCACAGCTTTATTTATTTTAAAAATGGACCCCCCCCCCCAAAAAAGCCTACACATCGATGAGCTGGTGCGCCATTTAAACGCATTAGCACTAGTATACTAGTACTCAGAGGCAAGTCGAAATCAAAAAGCGCTGCCTATCGGCTGAGCGCTTAATAAATGGATTGCATTTCACAAAAATGAACCACACTGGGAAAAAAACACATTGGATCTGGAGTCCAGACTCTTGAAAAGATTGACAAGAAAAAATACACCTGATTTAATCGGATTTTTGCTTAAATCAAAAGGAAATCCGCTCAAATTAAGAGGCTTGGTTCTTGATTTAAGCAAAAATCCGATTGAATCAAGAATATTTTTTTCCAGTGCAGGAGTATTGCAGTGTTGCTAACAATAAGATTCAGCAACTTCTTTTGTCTTAAAAGAAAAATCTGATTATCCATTAACAGTTTCTATTTTAAACGTTAAAAACTGTAAAAAGACAACAATTACCATGTAAATTTCATATTTTTTCATGGTTTCAGTCATTTCAGACTGCAAGGGTGTATTGCATAATATGGATCAAAATACACTCATTTATTTAATGAAGTCCCTCTTCCCCCCCCCCCAAAAAAAAAGTATCCGTAGTTTTAGCTACGCCACCCGGGAATTTTCAAGAATATCGTCTTTTTCCCCGGATTTTGGCGACGGTGGAAGTTCGGCATACGTGGGTGTAGGGAAATGGAAACATAAATTGAGGAAGCGATTGGTACGCGCTGATACTGACGCGGGCCTCGAATATGTTCGCTATCAAATCACGATTTTCCATCCAAAAATAATGAGAGGTGAACGAGTTTACTGAGTGGACTATTCCGATCCCGATGAGAAAACTCAGGGAAGAAACAGCGAGGGACGTAATTGTCCGCGGATGGAAAAGTTGCGACACGTTAGCGAGTTTTCCGCTGTTCCAGGATGTTACTTCCCACGCAATGCGCTCTAGTTGGTTGTGCGACTGATCTCGTAATCTGCCCGCCAGCTTCTACCCACTCGCCCACTAGCCCTCATCCTGGATTCTGACGCACATGGGGGCTCCGTTCAACTCCACACCGGAGGCGAACAACCCTCGAGAGCCATCCCCAGGGGTGAGATTTAACCGGAAAGTTCATATCGACGGTGGAATCATGAAAACATATGTAACTGTTTACGGCAGTTTGCGTCTCTCTCAAAATCCCCCATGACCCGCGCAGTGGCGTGGCGTGCTTTGTGACATAGATTGCATTTTGCAAAAAGGAACCACTTGCATTGCAATGATGCTAAGATTGTGCAACTTCATCTTTTGCAATAAAATTGCGGATATCGTGAAAAACTATGAAATTTAGATGGTCATTTTTGTCTTAAATTTGCAGTTTTTAGCGAGTAAAATAGAAACTATTAATGGATAATCGGGGCTTTCCTCCAAGACAAAAGAGGTTGCACAATCTTAGCAACATTGCAATGCTAGTGGTTCCTTTTTACAAAATGCAATCCATATATCAAATGATCCGTCATGTAAATCCATGTAAAAGGATCGATAAACAGGATGTTCACAACACCTTACTCGTCGATTCTTTACCGTAGCTTCAAATGGGGAAATATCGATAATCGATCAGTGGACGTGCGTAACGTTGGTGAAGATTTCCACCTTAACGGGTGTCACGCTGTCACGCATCACGCAAGTGGCGAACCGTCACGTAGGGATGACTATTTTGGGGATGGTGGAGAATGCCTTCCGAGAACGCAATTTCCGATTTTTCTACCTAACTTGATGATAACTGCTGTCTGGTCCAGACAGCAGTTATCATCAAGTTAGGCATATCGATTGATCTGCCGTTTAAACCTATGGAAAAGTATCGATAAACAGGGCGTTCGCAGCGAATACCTTAATAATCGATTATTTACCACAGCTTTAAATAGGGAAACATCGATAGATCGAAAAGCACGCCACGCCACTTTGGTGAATGGTCACATACAGTGCGCTTCACTCGCACACACTGGGGAAAAAAGTCTCTTAGATCTGGAGTCCAGACTCTTAAAAAAATCGACAAGAAAAATTACTCTTGACTCAACCGTTTTTTGTGCTTGAATCAGAAGGAAATCTACTTAAATTAAGAGGCTTGGCCCTCGATTCAAGCAAAACTTTTATCGAATCAAGGTCTTTTTTTTCTTGTCAAATTTTTGAAGAATCTGGACTTCGGATCCGAGAGACTCTTTTTCCAGTGCACCACCGTACTACACTTTTCACGCTCCATTCAATAAAACTAGAATCTTGGAGCCTTACAAGATCGACACGTTTGCGAACGTAGGCGGGAAGGCCGAGTCACATAAACAATTGGAAAATTCATCTGATAAGTTTGAACACGCCGCGAAACTTCGAAAAGACGTTTCAGGAGCCGGCGAACCGATGCAATGCTTGATTAAATCTGTCGTCAGGGTTTTAAGAGAGACGTCTGGAGTGTTCGCTCGCTCAATTTTTCCGCGAAAAAGTAATAAAATATGAACATTTATTACATTTTCTCATTTTTCTATCGCGGGCGTTCGTTTATTACACTTTTTCCATTTCGACGTCTTTCTTCATTATGAAAGGAGACCATCTCCCGGTAGTTATTTTTCCCTTGTCCCTTGGTCCCGCATGAACTTCTGCCCCTGGCCGTAATCACGTATTCAGTCGCGTATTAAGAGATTATATTCTCCGATGAGGATGACAAAATCTAGGGCTCGGAAGGAGATTCGAGAGAAGTTTTCTCGTTATGACTTTTCTCTAATCAAATAGTTTTCTATTTGAAATTAAGTACGGTGTGCTGAAAATTAAATCGACAGATTGTTTAACCGTTCGCAATATCGTATAAAATCGTAGAAAACAAGGCAAACCATGGATTTCTAAATTAGGTTGCAATTTTTGCCACTCTCTGCAGCAGTGGCGTGGCGTGAATGGTCGATTATAAATACTTCCCCATTTGAGCTGTGGTAAAGAATCGATTATTAGGGTGTTCGTTGCGAACACTCTAATAATCGATTCTTTACCACAGGTTTAAACGGTAGATCAATCGATACATCGCAAAGCACTCCACGCCACTGCTCTGCAGACCTCGAAGTCCGAAGCGTATAGAGTAATCATTCCATTCGATAATGAGAATAGTGCTGAGAATTGGTCTGGAGAAGGAAATATTTCTCATTAGTGTAAGTTCATTGGTCATTGAATTTATAATATCATAAACTTTAATGTATTTATGATTATGCAGCATTTTTACACCATCAGTGCATAGTGGCGTGGTATGCTTTGCGATGTATCGATTTATTTGCCATTAAAACCTATGGATAAGGATAGATAAACAAGGTGTTCGCAATGAACACCTTAATAATCGATTCTTCACCACAGCTTCAAATGGGAACATATCGAAAATCGATCATTCTCGCGTTGCCACTGTTAGCGCATCAGTCACTGGTTTCATAGCTCCTCTCCATTGAATATCATGAACGGGTTTTCGTATCGTATAGGATTTTACGATGGTCGTAAAAATTGGTATGGTAAAATTCTTTCTTGGATGGTATGTAAAATTCTGACGAGAAAATTCGTTTACCGAAGAACTTTCAATTTTATGGTTCAATTTGGAGACAGTGTGCCTCAGAACATAATGTGACCGTCCGCAGGCGGAGTCTTTGGTTCTGTGTACTAAAATATGAGTGTACTTTTGTTGAGTCGGGTCAAGAAATCAGAGCGCGAAGCACCCCCCGGTGGTTGGGCCGCCTATTGGCCAGGAGGCATACCTCCTGGTATTTCATCATCAAAGAAGCCGATTTTATCACACATTTGGCAACCCTGATTTCAAATTGAGTCATGCTTTATTGTTGGTTACAATAAGACCCGATGTTACCATGACGACCCGGCCGATGTAGTGTAAGAGCGAGGAAGAGTGTAACGGCTTAATTAATTACTATTCAAGACTCGGATGGGCAACAACCCAACTTTTAATTTGCCTCAAAGTGGGAATTGGAACAGATACTGACATATTCTGACCCTGCTTCCTGATCTCGCCTAAATTGGTCTGGCCGTCCGGATCGATTAGAGAATTGATTTCGCGGAGCTGACTACATAGTACAGACCTCCGTTGGAGACTCTTATTTTGAAATGTATNGGCTAGGCGTGACGGGCGCGCGAAGCGCGCCCAGAACGGCTAGTAATATCATAAACTTTAATGTATTTATGATTATGCAGCATTTTTACACCATTAGTGCACAGTGGCGTGGTATGCTTTGCGATATATCGATTTATTTGCCATTAAAACCTATGGATAAGGATAGATAAACAAGGTTTTCGCGATAAACACCTTAATAATC